GAGATGGGGAAGAATCCAGACACCCCACTGAGCTGTGATGGAGATGTTAGAGGGACGGGGAGAGATCTAGACATGCCCCTGAACTCTGGCGAGGATGTGAGAGAGATGGGGAAGAATCCAGACACCCCACTGAGCTGTGATGGAGATGTTAGAGGGACGGGGAGAGATCTAGACGTGGCTCTCAACTTTGGCATGGATGCGAGGGGTGCGGAGGGAGCATCTAGCGAGCTACTGTTCTGCGATTCGCCGGAACGATGCCTCGCCGACCGCATCACGACGACTCGCGACGCCGCGACGCCGGAGGCAGAGGAAGATGCCAGCTTCAGCGAAGCTCTCTTCAACGATTCGCCCTCTCCGCCGCGGTCGCCGCCATCCGACGATACGGCGCGGCACCACGACGCGACGCTGGTGATTGCCGACACTCAGTTGCTCGACCTCGCGTTTAGCGACGACAGCTCCTCCGCAGCGACCGTCGCCGGAGGCGACGACCCAACTCGCGTGGAGACGCTGTCGCGCTCGACCCTCGAGCAGCTGCTGCAGGGAAGCTTCTACACGCCGGCGGCGGCCGGGAAGCTGTCGGCGAGCGACGGGGAGAGCAGCGCGACGGCGGCGGCGGCAGCATCCCCGGACAGGTCGTTGGACCTGAGCTCCGGCATAGCCGCGATCATGGACATCTTCGGCGCGGCGGGTTGCGGCGAAGCGGCGTCTGCGCCGCGACGGAATTGCGGCGAAGACGGCGGCGGCTCGGATGGAGATTCTCTGGTGAGGAAGCTCACGTCTCCCGATGCCACGTCATCCTCCTCGGACACCGACGACAGTGACGTCGTCCAGCCCACGCCTCCGCCGCCGCGTGCCAGCGGCAGCAGCGTGCTCAGTCCAATCAGGGGCATCGGTGAGGCGAGAACTCCGTCCAATCGCGAGCTGTCGTCGTTGGCGGCGGGGTCGGGGGGCGGATTGTCGAGTGAGATGCGGGCGGGGCGGCGAGGCTTGGGGCAGACAGTGGAGAGGCTCACGCGCAGTGCCGCCCGGAAGCTGAGGGTGGAAGCCGTGGCGACCGCATCTGACGCCGGCATGCGCGTAGCATCCCTGGATGCTGCAGCCGTGGCGACCGCATCCAACGCCGGCGCGCGCGTAGCATCCCTGGATGCTGCAGCCGTGTTGTCACGGGCACGAGCCAGCAATGCCGGGTCTGTCGACGGATTAGACACTCCGGTTGTCGACGTTA